CAGTCTCTTGCAAAGTGACCTCTCTTTCCACAATTAAAACACAGATCATTACGTCTCCTATAACTGTTGGAGTGGCTACTCTCTACCTCTTGGCCTTCTTGAACTCCCTTTGAACGGTAACTCTTATCTTGTTTCCTCCAAGATCTCTAATCCTTGGGCTGATCTAACTTGATGCTTTGGAATCTGCCTTTGCCTTTAGCTCCTTCTCTAGTGCTATAAAGCCCTCCTCTAGTATTGTACTTGCTTCTTCCTTGCCCTTGTCCACTAAAGAGTGCTTCTTCCTTTTTTTTTTGTGCTCCTTCAATTGCTTGCTTTCCCTATGCTTCTTGATCTGCCAACAGATTTTCTAATTCATCCATAGTTGGCTGAATTTGCCAACCTTGTATAGTTGTGATAAAGGCCTTAAACTTTGGCCTTATTCCATGAATAATTATTCTTCTCATTCTTTCATCTAAAATTTTAGATTCTTCATCCAATTCTAAAATTTCTCGACATAATAATTTGATTTTTGTGAAATATTTCCTGATTAGCATATTTTCTTGCTTCGAGGAAAGCAACTCATTTTCCAACAATTGAAGCTGAGTATAATTCTTCCTTTTAAAGCGAGCAGCTAAAATATCCCAAGCATCTTTTGGTGAGGTAGCATACCTTATGTGCTCCAACATTTCTTCCTCAATACAAGTTTTTATGGCAAACATGGCCTTGGTAGCTCGAACTTTCCATTTCTTGTACATGGTAGCATTAATCTCTGGTGGCGACACAACCTCATCGCCTTTCACAATCTCCAGCAAGTCTTGGCTCTCCAGGTAAGATTCAATGCATGTTTGCCACGTGCTGTAACTTTTGTCATTCAACTTCTTGATGGTGTTTAGCTAGCTTTGATCACCCATTATGACTTAGTGTGGTCCCTACCGATTATGACCTGGTCCCAGATCAATAGAGCATAAGCTTCACAGTCTCGAATTGTGAACAAGTAGAATTTCTCCAAAGAAAGAGATCCCTGACCTCCTTGCTTTGTGATGATCTTTGACTAAGCGGTCCTTGACCATTACAACAACAAAGCTGGGAAAAGCCTTCACCAAGTGAAGAATCACGATCCCTGACCGTGTGAAGAGACTATTATAGTAGATTGCTTTGATACTAGATTTGTTGACTAAAAGAGGAAATAGCAGAACACCTTTTTCTATTGAACTCACGCACACACACTGTTTTCTTCTTCAATTCTGCTTTTCATACTTACAAAAGTCAGTGATGGACACCAATTGTGCATATTCTAGAGTATTCCTTTTGTTTACAATATTTTAATTTACCATACATACAAAATCTAGACACACAACTAACGTGGCTTTCTCTCCATCATATATTCTTGTGTGGCTTCAATTTACTTTGCAGTAAAGTATATGCTTCTAGAAGACTTTTACTTCATTACCTTTTAGATCTCAAGTCGATGATGAATATTTTAACGAGAGAGACTGTGATTAACAGCAATGAAGTAGCAAAGTACTATGGTGGAAGAATCATAATAGATTATGGCAGGAAATGAAATTCTTCAAAGGGATTATTGGCCTTTCACTGGCTCTAGTTACTTAATTTGGAACAAATTTCCAGATAATGTATATTATAGTATCTTAGTCTTACAATAAACTTGTTGCATCTTAAAAAAAAAAAAAGAAAGAAAAAAAAAAGAGAGAGAAGAAAGAATGCCTGTATATTGCAAATGCTATGAAAATTTGCTTGTACTTTGCACTGTCTATTTGTCATTTAAAACACAGATGTTGGGGGTATTAATTGGTTTAGTTTGGATATGTTATTTAATTTGTTTGCTTTTGAATATATTCTGGTTAGCTTAAAAAATTGGGAAATTTTATTTGGTTGGATGGACTCTTCATTTTTATATGAAAATTCGATCTCTTAATTTCTCATTAAATTAATTATTTGATCACTCTTTAATAATGTTTCTTCTTTTTTTGTGTTGGCTGCACAACGGAGACAACCCTCTTCCATCCCTTATCCCACCCCACTCGTATGTCATATGACTTAAACTCAAAATCTCTTACTTCCAGAGGAAGAAGATTACTACTGAGCTACTTAGATCGTTGGTAATTTTTTTATATATATAATATAGAGATTTTTCTAAATGAAAGATTAAAGAGATTACAAGTATATCTCCATATTAAAGCTAAGTTTATAACTTAAATATTTTAGTAATAATTTTTATTAAATAAATTAACAATTTTAAAAGTTAAATAATCTAATGATAATTTTCATGAACAACAAAACCTCAAACATTAAAGAAATAACGAAAGGAATCATAAAACATCAAATAAAAAGAGGAGATCAGATCTATAGCTCTTTACCCCAAAATTGTGGGGCAGATAGAATAAAGTTTTGTTTTTAGTTAATATGAAATTAAATTTATTTCGGTGTTAGTCCTAAAACTTGAAGATTTATGACACTTATGCTTCGTTTAGGATAATTGTAGTTTTAAATTTTTGGTTTTTTAATTTTACAACTAAAAAAAAAAAATTGTTTACTTTCACATATATGTTTCTGCAACATATTATTATAATTATTAGAAAAATAAAAACAATTTTAATATTATTAAATAAGTAAATAATTTTAATTGCCAACATTAAAATTTGTTTGAAATAATTTATGATTTTTAATTTCAATTTTTAATAGTTGTAAAATTTATAAAAATCAAAACAAAAAATTCAAAATCATAACTATATTAAACAGAGCGCTGCTTACCAATAAATTTAACAATGAACACTTATGGATGATCAAACGTTTGCTTCCTAGAAAATAACTTCTTGTGAATGGAAAAAATATCTTTTCCATTTTTTTGTTTGAAAATTTTTTATAAAAAAATTTTTGTCTGGTTCATAACGAAAAAAATCTTCAAATTTTCAGAAGTCACCATAAAAAATTTCCGTTTGACTTGGTCTTGAGTCACATACCAAGCCCCCTGGATCCCTCAGGTTACCCCCAGCCATGTTAGACCCTAGTCACACATTCTAAACAGCCTTAAACCTTGAGTCACACCTTGAGCCACCATCTAGAACTACCTCGCATCTAGAGCTGCCTTGCACATGCATGGCCGGACCTCCAACTTTAACCGTAATTATCTTGTCGATACAAAAGGAATAACTTAAAATGATTGAGTTGTTTATGAAACCCACCCTTTTTGAAGTGGGGAATCTGAATTTAGCACATGGTTCACTGTAATGGCTTTGCCTGACTATATATAGACGTGGCTTTGCCCCTCTAGCTAAAACAAGACACACATTCGATCTTTTCTACACATAGAATCCGAAAATCTACGATGACATCTCAGAAAGATAACCTTCACAAGGCTGCACAAGACTTCTCACTACTAGATCAATGCTTTCCCAGGCATCATCGGCACACAGAAGCAGGCCTCGGTCTTATCATGGGGTGGACTACTACTACCAGGTATCCTGAATATGAAGATCAGTACCATGTTCAGTTCCAGAATCAAAACTTTCATTATTTGAGACCTCCAGCCAAAGAGCGATGGTATGTCTGCAGTTTACCCCAAATTCCAACTGGAAAGAGGAGTGTTATTACAAGTGACCAGGCAGCTAAAAACTATGGTGGTTACTTAATTAGGGATTATTAAGGTACTAGTAACGACTATACCAACTACTACTCGCTAAGTAGTTGTCTAGGCATGAAAATTGTATAATATCTATGCTCGTAAGGTTGTGATGCTTGATTAAATAATAAATCTCTCTCTTTCTCAAGATTTGGCTTTCACAACACGGGCAAGAACTGCTGACAAAATCTTGCAGCTACCGTAGTTGTTTCTTGCCATGGTAAATGTTTAGAAGAAATCAGATTGAAACTAGGCCGTTTTAACCTGTCCATTAATGCTTCATGGATCAATGTTATACAAAATGACCTAAATGCTTGAAAATCAAGAAGGTAATATATGCTTATATATTTTTTATGGTGAATGGGGCATAAATCTTTCATTGATACAGTTCTGTGCCTCTTTTCTCTTTCGAAAGTCCATTCCGGTTTTGGTTCATATTGATCATTTTTTGGCCTTTTGCCCCCATCCACCCTATCTCAAACCCTTCAAATTACAAAACAGAAGGGAAGAAAATAGCTGAGTAGCTTTGTGGTTCTCTAGAAACTGAATCCATTTTGGGTGAAAATTGTAATGGTAGACACTGAATGTTAACAAGATATTTTCATCAAAAGTTACTTATGCTGGAACAACTTTCATATTCTCACACTTCATATTTTTATTGTTTTAGTTATTTAAAAGAACAGTATAAAAAGAACCAAAATGATTTAATTTCATTATTTTATTATTAGTTCAAGTTAAAAGACATGCTTTAAGGTTCTAGAATCACTTGTTTTATGGAGATTTAACTTCCATTAAGGTTCCTAGATCCACTCAATTAAAGTAAAGTTTTACCACTCCATTTGAAACAGAATATTGTTGTTTAATTACTCCACTCAATTGAAGCAAAGTTTTATCACTCCATTTGAAACAGAATATAATTGTAATGGTAGATACTGAATGTTAACAAGATATCTTCATCAAAAGCTACTTGTGCTGGAAACAACTTTCATATTCTCACACTTCTTCATATTTTTATTGTTTTAGTTACTTAAAGAACAGAATAAAAAGAAGCAAAATGATTTAATTTCATTATTTTATTATTAGTTCAAGTTAAAAGACATGCTTTAAGGTTCTAGAATCACTTGTTTTATGGAGATTTAACTTCCATCAAGGTTCCTAGATCCACTCAGTTAAAGCAAAGTTTTACCACTCCATTTGAAACAGAATATTGTTGTTTAATATTTACTCCCCAAATCTCCTTTTGAAAATTCCTTACACTGTTAATTTCAAAAAGGTAGATGAATCAAATTCCTTTTCAAAATATTCACCTATAATTGAATTATTATCAGTAGTTATAATATGTTGGAGCAGATATGCGATGATATCTGCTTTTACTTGAAATAATGCTAGCATCCTCTTCACTCTTAGCCACGTTTCTAGTTAGGCTAGTTACACCATAATCTCTATGTCACATGGCATTATAGCCTAACAATTGAAGCATAACCTATAGCACTAGTTACATACTTAAAACTATGCTCATGATAGATTTAGACAATTAAGCAAGAGGAGTCATTTGCAACTAGAGATTGCATATAGCAATCGTTGTATGGTCCTAACAAGGCTATAGTGTAGGAAGAAAGTCACTACCAGCATCATGAGTGCTATTGGAACTATCTGTGTCATATTGCTAGGAAAAAGGAAACAAAGATCTAGAAAAGCTTCTCTTTTTATGTGATTAGTATATACTATTCTACGTTTGAAACTATTGAAGTATGTTTCCCCTGTGAGTGTGAAGAACTAAGATCTCACATTGAAAAAATATAGATGGAAAGAGTGGCTTAAATATGTGAAGACCCATGAAACTACTAGACTAGTCTTTTGGTTCCAATGTGGTGTCGAAACATGTAATGAGCCATTCAATGTCACCTTGTTAGGTCGTATGTCTCCCCAACAAATGGTATTAGAACCAGTGGCTTAAATATGTTTCCCTTGTGAAAGGGGGAGTGTTGAAGTACGTTTCCCTTGTGAGTGTGAAGAAGTGTGAAGAACTAAGATCCCACATCGAAGAAATATAAAAGAAAAGAGTGGCTTAAATATGTGAAGACCCATGAAACTACTACATGTAATGGGCCACTCAATGTCACCCTACTAGGTCGTATGTCTCCCCAACATAAATAAGAACATATGCTTCCATATAATTAAAATTATCAACTAATCATACTATTTGTACACTTTTAATCATCCTATGTTTATCTAGGCCCTTATGCCGCCTTTTCTATATAATGTGACATCTCCTCTAGTAGTTATATAATGCAAAGGAAACAAGAACTAGCCTTAATTCTTCTATAGAATTTTCTCCCTGTTGTTATTTTTGCAATGGCAAGTCAAAGAAACCAGCTAGCTAAGATTGGATTGGAAGGTTTTGCACTGATATATGAGTACTACAGCTACAGTACTTGGTACAAAATGTCATCTCCTAGCCTTTCTCTTTTGCAGCTAGACCTGGCAATTTTTTACCCAACCCGCTAACTTGCCCATTACGCGCCCGTTTAAAACGAGTTAGGGTCATATATGGACAGTGATCGGTACAACCTCCAATTCAACATACTACGCAACATACTCATTAAAAAATCATTATTTTTTGTTTGAAATTAAAAATAGACAAGTTTAATAATACAATCATGCATATATGATATAGGAATGAGTTAAATTGACTGTATTTATATTATAGTTTTAATCACTAAATCGGAGTGTGTCAAAAAATGTGTTGAATCGGAGGGTGTACCAATCATTTTTCGTCATATATTTATGACCTGTGACCGGTTAATGACCCGTTAAGAGAACCCAACGGGTCACAGGTCAATAACCGGTTGACCCACCAAGTTAATGGGTTGACCCACCGGGTTAATGGGTTTGACTCGTTTACCTGTCTAAAAATTTAAAAATTTTTAACTTATCATTTATTTATTTTGTTTTCAATTTCCCAATCCCACCTAAATCTCTAATAATTGATTAATTTTTCCTAATTAGCTAATTGATTCTCTTAATTCATCATCTTCTAGAAGTAAAAATAATCCCACTCCACTCATAACTACCTCCTGACTTTTCCTATTCTTGCTTGCCCTAATACTCTCTATGACTCTAACTCTTCAAACTTCAAACTCTTCTCATATTCTTCAACCTCCATAGTCCATACAACCTTCGACTTTTAAGCTTCAGCTCCACCTTTTCTCTTTAG